CCTGCTGTACAGTAATCAGATAGAAATACATCTTTTTCAGGACTGTCTGAGAATTTGTATTTTACTTTTAAAAGATGTGTAATTATACATAAATGACCATGACACTTTTGCATACTATGGACTATATTAACGGGAAAAGATTGAGGAAAATAGATACTCTCTGAAAGACTTATTTACAATGGGAGTTTGAACAACATTAATTATCCTCAAAACAAATTTTGAGAAGCTGACAATCAATATCTGTTATTTAAGAATTTTGTCTTTATTGAGTTAATGGTGTCTTCCCAATGGACGTTAACATTAAATTATTATTAGAATTAAAGATGCTTGAATGTTTAAGCGAGAGTGCTTCTATTGATTTTCAGATATTTTTTCTTTGAACGAATGTTAATGTCATCATTTAGAATGTTTGAATATTTTTGAGCAAAGCTTTCAAAATCTTCTTTAGAATTTCGAATTATAAGAAAAGATCACAAAATAGCCGTTATAATGTTAAATCCCTTTAAAAATATTTTTTTTTACAATATCTAATTAAAACAATAAAACAAAACTCTCTTTAATGAAATGAATATATTGATGTAACATACATTCTACTCGCTATGTTACATTCACTATGTTACATAAATGTTTATATATATATATATATATATATATATATATATATATATATATATATATATATATATATATATATATACATATCATAATACACTATACAAACAGAACAATGAGTTGTTTATCTAGGCTACATTGTATTTAGTCACCATAACATGATATTGCTATACAAACTGAACATTGAGCTAAATATTTACATGTATATTATACTATAAATGTGTTTTATGTGTATTTATGTGTAATCATAATTGTTATATAGATGTCTTGCCTCATGAAGCCTTAATATGGAAATAAATTCTATTCTTTTCTATAATGGAATTTAAAATGTTTTACATACCGCCTGATAAGTCAAATTTCAATGTTTAAGGTAACAAAAATGAAAGTGGTCGATGTACATAGATATTTTCAACAAATGCATTAATAGAAACAACCCATCTACGATTGTAAAATATTTAAATATTATTAGGTGATAGATAAGAAAAATTATCAATGCAGTTTTGAAAGACATTTATGTATAGTTTGACTAGAAGTCACAGTTTCTTTTGTCCAAAAATCTCATTATAGTTTTGTTCGTTGACATAAGAATGTGACTTATTTTAAAGTCAATAATGCTTTGATAAACTCACCGGAAGTCAAGTTTTGGCTGTTTTTGTAGAATTTTTCAAGATTGATGAAAATGACGCATTTCATGACGTCATAATACATTGACTAGCCAGAAAATTACGTCATTTTTGATAGATACGCAATCACCAAAGATTTAAATAATATATTAATGCATTGTCAACTAAAATTAAACAGTTCCAGTTTTTCAGAAATTCACAGGGCCAAAAAAGGCCCTAAGTGAACCTTGTTCTTTATGTAGGAAACAATCTTTAAAGGTATAACAATGTTTTATTCATTTGCAAACATTGAAGTCTGTTGATTTGAATTCTTTGCACATTAACGACCCAAGGGGGAAAGGAAGCGCTAAAATCGGGAATCGAATTTTACCTAAATCACACATACGGAAAAATCCATAGCAGAGTCATGTTATTAACATTGATAATGAAGCATCCTAAGGATATTTGTTATGTTGACTTATTTTAGATAGGGTGAATAAAGAGGGGAAAAATAAATCTTCCGAAGAAGAAGAGCTCGGTCAGGGTGACTCAAGTGAGTATTATTTTAAGTGCAATGGAATTTTTTTTTGTCAGTGGAAATGTTCAGTATTTGAAAATAAGGGTATGTTCAGAGATTGACGTCTTAGGCATCAGAGAAAAAGGTGAAGATAACGAACAGAAATAATCTTTATTAAAATGAAATGTAAACAAAAAGAAGAGCTAGAATAAGCATCCCCTGTCGACCGCAACATCCGCAGTGACCAGTTAAACGGAAGATTTTGTAGTCTTTTGTGAACTGCTGACTTTAAGATTGTTGATAGCCATGAAACGTCAACTTAATTGTCAGTAGTCTGCCTTGAATTAAAAATTTATCATACTCAGAGAATGCACTTGCATACCGATTAGGGGAATGTACTACAAAAATAAGGAAGCTGACGATAGGAGAAACAGGAACTTTGGTTTGCCATGGCCATAGAGCTTAGTTGTTAACTGGCAATTACTTAACGAATTGGCTATTGACGTCTTCTGTCAGTAAAACATCCAGATATGAAACAGATGTGGTAAACTTTGTGGTATAATTTATTTCGACTTCACTGGGATACACGATACGACATATGAATGAAAGTAATCGTTAATCGATAAAAGATTTCGATATATTTTAACGTTGTATTGAAGGCAGCAGGAAGAGTTTTTTTGTGAAAAATTCTGCGTCAGTAGAATATTGAAAATAATTCAGGCACACCTGCATGAATCTAAATTGTCCTTTGTAACCATAGAATTAAAACTACGTCGCCCCCAAAAATGATAAGTCTTATTTTGGATTCATTTTAATGTCGGTATAACATGTACTTGAAAGTATTGTTCGCATTTTGTTTCAATGTTGCTGAGAGAGAATATAAATTATTTTAGAAAGGCCAATTGCCAATATATAACCTATTAGTCTTTCTTTCTTGTCTTTACAAAGGGGTGCCCTAGCCTCTGATAAAATAATAAGAAATAGAGACCCATAAATTTTTTACCGTAGATTTCAATGATATTTTTATTTATATCATGACATGAAAAGAAAGTTTATAAAAGAATTAAAATGCCTTTTAAGAAAGCTCATTACTTATCTAGATTAAAGTAAAAATTATGCAGGGCTCAATGTATAGGACACAATATATTACAAGTGAGTGTTGCCAATTAAAAATGAACATTAGTATCAAACAGTTAAGTTATATATTTATTAATCATTAAGTTCTTATATCCATGTCTAGATGGTAACTTTCATCGTAACATAATTGTGGATATTTTCTTTGATGTTACGGTATCGGTTCGGATTACTGGCATTTTTAACAGGATGTTTTTATCATTTATAATAATTATTATTTACGATCCGCAAATATGTTATTGCAAAGGTTGTACTATACTTTCCCAATACATTTACCTGTACGCTCTCTATGACTGGCGGAATTTATTTTTACAGAAATATCCGTTTAATTGCGAATGCAAAAGTATACTTTATTACCTCATCATCATGGAACAAGCACATATAGAAACTGACACAACGCACAAAATCTTAACAACTTCAGTATAAATAAATAAAAAAATAAATAAATAAAAAATCACAGTCAGAACCAGGTTGCAGGTTGGATATGAAACAAGTCTTTGTTAAATGTAATATAGATATAAGGAAGATAACGAACAGTAATCAAGCTCAAAAGTCCAATGTAACAAAACAAATCAGGAGCAGAGCAAACACGGACCTCTAAAACATCAGAGTGTGATCGAGTGCCATTGATGAGTAAGCATTCCCTGTTGGTCGGCCACACCCGCCGCGTGAGCCTTTTCATGATAGGGCAAACGAAAAAAATCCGTAGGCAATTCAGTGTAAATAATGGCCTAACGATAAATACGAAAAACGTCAGTCAGCATTCGACTTAATGATAGGTTGTATTTGTTGACAAGGTCATTGTATTGACCATAGAACTTGCAAACTGCTGACATTAAACAAGACTGTTTATATCCTTGTTTCATCAACTTGTTTCTCAATAGCTTGCCACGTTTTAGAAATTGTTTGTACGTAGAGCATGCTCTTGTTTATCAAATTAACTGGGAGACATAAACTCTGTATACAGGTGATAAGAGTATATTGCTACATAAATAAGGGAAATTGACAATAGAAAAGTTGAAGTGATCAAATGTGTCATAAAGTTTTGGTGGAAGGTTACCATGAACATCTTTTTCTAGTAAAGTATTCAAATGTGCAATAGATGCGTCAGACTCCGTGGTGTCTTTTATTCCAAGCTCAATGATAAAATCAAAGAAAAGTCACTGATAAAGATCCCATATATATGCTTTACTGCTTTACCATTCTTTATTTCTTGTTTGATAATTCAGGCGAAAATTTGAGATGCTTCTTTGAAAAGTCAGTCTATTTCTAAAGGCGCGGAGTTTGAAGTATTTGGAGCGAAATTTGTGACGAGTTGTTATTTTCTAGCATCTTAGTAATAGTCATTTAATCAAAAGTAATCGGCGATCCTCCATCACTCGAGCACCAACTCGTAATTGAAGAACAGCCAATTGATAATATAGAATAAATATTCGGAAAATAACAATTGCACGTACTCATTAAAAATTTTTTTGGAAATAAAAATACACTGAATATCTAATAATGGCATTCCCATGGAAAACTATAAAAGTTATAGTCGTGATCATGATAAGAATCCCAGTGGGTGTGTGTATAACAGTGTCCAGGATGGGAATGTCGCCAGATACTGAAACCTTGACAGCTGAAATCGGTCCAACACAGCTGTTTACAATCCACGCGAGACTGAGACCCATGGTACTTTCCATTGTAACCAAACCCTCTATCATTTCTATGCAGATCTGAAATATCAATTATTTTACTATAACATTAAGTAAAATATCAGAAATGGCCAGAAAATAAAGACAAATTTGGAAGTTTGGTCCAAAATGTTACTTAATTGAATTGCATGTGATGTATAAAAATAGAAGAATAGAAAGATACCATTTAAAAAAATTGATATAAACACATGGTTCCATTGTATACGAGGGTTGTCCGGTTAAATAGTTGACAAGTTGTCTAGAGTGAAAAATAATCAACACCGCGTTCTAAAATTTTCACTTCTCTTCAGTAAATATTCATCAATATACATAGAAAATCACACTTAGATTAATGCTGAAATAAACAAAATATGACATTTTATGTTATGCGTGGTATTGCTTTACGGAGCATGGATGATAATGTTTAAGTATCTAAAGCAACGTCACGTTTCATTTTTTCTAAAAATGGTTGGATAAGCCCCACTTAACTTCAGGGATATCACTGAAGGACACACTCGAGTTTCCCTTTATTCCCCCATAAAAAGACGAGGGAGCAATCCCTACACCAATGGGACCTGCTGAAGATTTGCATTGGTAAGTTTTGGACAGTGCTCTCACTCCATTCAAATACATAGACAATCTTTTTCGACAATCTGTCTTGGTAACGTCTTTTGCTATTGTCAGTATCTGTTAGTCAGTATGCTTTGTTCTATGCAGGGACTCGATAAAAATATTCTGATCAAAAGCGTCCATTCCACTTCTATACTAAAAACCTATAATTATACTTTTTCTTCTGTTATCATTTAAAGTCTGCAAAGGCGTCATTACTTATGATGAAAGTGAACTGCTCTACGGTGCGCCACAAAATCACCAAACGTCGCCCTTTTCCCTTTGTTGTGTAAACGACTTTCCCATTTCAAAACTCAGAAACTTAACAAAAAAATGAAGTAAATGCCTTGAATGCCTTGAAATTTTCCAAATGACAGCATAATAAATAGTGACGTAAAAATATGTTTTTTCAAACCTTAACCTTGTCAATTTGATGCTTTTATTTTGTAATAATACTCGCGTATTCTCTTATAAAAACATGGCTTTTTGCTCTTGCGCAGTGTATCCATACCCTGTGCGCATTCAAGTTTAATAAAATCCTTATTTGTTTATTGATTTTGTTTTAAAAAAATGTCAAATATGTCAATTGCTAAAAATTTTAGTTAGTGCGCGGATTATCTTTCACAAAAACGCATTGTCAATGATTTTACCTGACAACCCTCGTACATGCATAATATTCTGAAGAAAAATACTCCAAAGCATACCGTAACACATTGTCCTGTTTTGATTGCAACATTTGTTGAATTGTGAGCAGTCCTGACACGAACTTTGTCCAGTTCTATCTTGATAAGAGCCACTCGGACAAAACAAACATGAAGTTTGTCCAGAATCTGGTTGGTAATAACCAGCTCTGCATTGCCTACAATTTTGTTTTCCTACAAAAGAAAGTCACATCAACTGAGCAGATGTGTGTTACAGACTGAGTCAGATTGTGTAAAGCGATGAATTTCTTGCAGGCTAAACTTACCTGCATTTGGCTGATATGTCCCAGCTCCACAAGGTTTACAGGAATCTGTTAATAATATTCAATGATTTATTTCTTCATAGTAAAAAAAATATTTAATACATGTAGATACATGCACACATAATTTAATACTAACAAAATAATGAAGAGGAAAGCTATATTTGGGTGAATTAAAAAAAAAATACCACCAAACTGAAACGTTTTGGAAAAATTCAACTACTTATAACATATTTTTCACTTGTATCATCAAATTGCACATGCATTCTAGTTTAAAATCCGGAAGTGACAATATAATAGACAATTGGATAAAAAAAGTTTCAGAATTTTTATTGTAAAATTCCTTTTGAAAAAAGAAAATATCTTTACACCTAAAAAGACTTTCTAAAATACATAATCACAAGAATTTATAGTTTTTTATGCTTCAAATGGTAAGAAGGGTATAAATGATTAAATCTAGACCTTGATTGAGTATCTTCTTTTGTATATGTGACAAAAAATTGGCTTTTTGATTGTTATTTTACATTATTTTTTTCAATTCTTGTTTGAAAAGTTTTAATATGAAAAAAATATGAAGCAATAAAATTCCCCAAAATTCACTTTTTTGTCCGTTCAAGTCAATTCTGTAAATCTAAGCCGAAAAAGAATTTTTATATACGAGTTCTCTTACAAAAAATACTAGATTTTGAAGTGACAGTATGTTACATTATTGTGTTGCGCTCCTGACATCTGATATGTATTTTATTTAACATTGTTTTAAAAATTATAACACACAATAACGCATTCTTACTTTGTAAATCAATTTGTCGTTTTGATATTTTTTATCGTTTAAGGCTGGTTTTTACGGAAGCCCGTTGAGGCCAGTTCAGAGAAAGAAATATTTTTTATTGCGTTTAAACGCAAAAGATTGCGATTAATCGCAATGTATATTGCGTTTAATCGCAAAAGATTGCGATTAAACGCAATCTTTTGCGTTAAAATGCAAAACTTTTGCGTTAAAATGCAAAACTTTTGCGAAAAAAAAAAACGCAATAGTATTGCGATTAAAAGCAATAATTTTTGCGATTAAACGCAATGATCTTTGTGTTTAAACGCAATAATCCTTCCTTATAAGGATCTGTTTTGCATTTAAACACAATGATACTGTAGTTTCAAAATGAAACATGAATTCGTCAAAGCTTATAATTTCATGTACATGTACTAGGATTCGACACTTCAACTTTAAGAAGGTCCGATTTGTTCTGTGTCTTTTTGCAAAATTTTCCAGTTTTTGAAAATTGTAGTAAAAAACAATGGCATCCTAAAAACCTGAATGTCTTAAATGTATTAGAACCCAAAACTCTTAATAAAGTCTCTGATCAATTGCTTACGTGTATCACAACTTATAGAGAATGTTTCAGTGGTATTAATAGCACTTGTCAATTTGATACATGTAGTACACATCGATCATTATGTTTTCATTTGATTTTGATTTTGATCTCATATAAATCCATCACATATGTGTGTTTACTGTATGCAACCATAGGAAGGTTTATGAATGTTCATTTAAGTCTAAATAGTTCATCATGTTGTATTTCCAAAAATCCCTTTATACATGGGTTAAGCTTATGACCGCAACGTAAGAGACAGTTTTTTAACAGAGCAACTGACCAAAACTTCATTTAGAATAATAAGCTTAAGACATTTCTCTTTCTTAGCTTGCCTTTGTTTTTACAACCCGACTTTTTTTCTCCTCTATAAATTCTTATTAGTGATTTTTCCTTTCAGAGAGCGTTTGCTTGGAGAAATCTGATTCTATAAAGCTAAACAATACGCAATTTCCTCATAAGTAAAAAGAGAAAGAAATAAAAGATATGATATAAGTATGCGTGGGTCCATTGTACTCTGCAAGGTTTGATACAAATGACTGCCTTTAAACACAGAGATAATTGCCTTTGAACTCAAAAATTGTTGCGTTTAAACGCAAAAGTATTGCATTTAAACGCAAAAGTATTGCGTTTAAACGCAAAATGGAAATATGGTGATCGACCTTAATTTTTCGTCGTTCTTACTTCCGGTCGCGAACGGAAGTGAATTCAAAAATGTTAAATTTGCAACTTTTTTGTTTTTCAATATTTTTCTTTGAAATTTACAGGGTTAATAGAGAGTCTTCTAAGAGTTCTATGTATGTTTTCATCATTTTGAATGATGCATTTGTTGCAAAGATATGACCGACCCAAACTTTCTCGTATGTTGCGCGTTCGAATCCTGCTGGGGCGGGAGATTGTTCTCTCCTTTTTCAGTTGTAAATAATATTTTTCTCCGTGAAGACATGTATGATAGTTTTTGCTTATTTTTTACAGCTTTGTTAACAGAGATTCTACAGAAATCCTTTAATAATTATGATCTATGTTGAAAGACTGTGTTACATAAACGCAAACGAAAAATACCTTCAATAAAGTATTAAATGAAGTGAGATAGCGTTCTGGAGAAAAGTTCGGTCGGAAGACCACTTGTTGCCCTAGCAACAAGAAACGCATCTAGTTTTTATTCTTATCGGATGATTTATAATTCTAAACATATTTGTTGCACTCCAGACCAAAGGCATTGGGGCCTTTAAAGTAGAATTGTGAAGTGAAAATCACATAAGAACTTGTTCTGTTGTTTCAGTGAAGTTGAGGAGGAATTACTTAAATTTTATGACAATTTTTTAGTGTGTTTATTTTTAACGTTCATTAGATTTCAAAAAGAGAAAAACACATCTGAATTGATAAAATTGAAAAAGGAAGGATTTTAATAATAAAACTGTCAATAATTTAGTATTAAATTATGCAAAAAGATCATTATTAATTAATGAATACTTCTAAGTATGAATAGAAGTGTTTTCGTCACACAGCTTGAATCTTTAAAAAAATGTGTTGCACTCCTGACCATAGAAATATAGATCTGAAGCACAGCCAGATCCTGTAATTGATAAATCTATTCGGTAAAAATGTTCTTTTTGTCTTTATTTTCCAAAATAAAAATCATATAATGATAATAGTTTTTTTCATGCTTGGGAGCTTTTTTTAAAATATCAAATGTTGCACTCCTGACATTAATGGGTATGCACATATACTTGACTCTCATTAATGCTGCTTGTGATTTATATAAAATTTTTAAGTTTTAAAATGTATATCTGTTATTGTTTTACACTTCGAAAATTCTTTTTTGTCTTAATTTTCTTTCAGAATTTTACAATTGATGTTTTTGGCAACACTACATTTTTTCTGTTGCACTCCTGACATGGTATAACATTTTTTTAAACATCAGCCATGACTACAACTTGATTAAACAAAACTTACTACAGTCCACATTTAATGCTCAATACTTTGAATATTATCAGGAAAGTCTTTATTTTCAACATAAAGCATTATTATTTATTTCACAGATAGATCTCCAAAAGATATTGAAATTTCAAAATGTCACAAAAAGGTGTTGCACTCCTGACAATTTTAGTATCATTTTTGAGCATAACTTTTTTTTGTTAACTGAGATATCAAAGAGATATTTGGCAGGTATTTAGACACTATCTAAAGACATATGCTGAGACATAGAAATCTATTTTCATTGCCTGTATTTTAGTGTGGGTTGATAAATATGTGTTTGGTCATTTTTTTTAATTCACCCATTTGTAACAAAATATATATTGAAATCAGAAAGACAGCTGTAGAGAACACAATGAGAAATTCTTTATAAACTGATGATGCCTTTAAAGAGGTAGGAGTTAAAAGTTGTACATATATCCCATGCAGTAAAGACTTAAAAATTTGAAAGTAAACTACCTTTAGATGTCTTGCCGTGATCAGGTTGGTATGAGCCACTGGGACAGGGTTTGCAATTACTAGACCTGGCCTGGTCCTGGTATGTTCCAGGTGGACAATCTATACACTGCACACTGCCAACATTAGGGCTATGTTGACCGATAGGACAGGGATCACACTAGCAGTAAAAAAAGAAAATTAATGTAATTAGATTAGCAACAATTAGACCATTACGTTTTCGAAAACAAACATACACTTGTTTTGCCCTTTTTAGCTTGGTAAGTGCCACTAGGACAATTTTTGCAACTGCTAGAACCGGTTTGGTCTTGATAGGTCCCTGGTTGGCATATCGAACACCACTGCATATTACTTCCGCCATTATACTGACCAACAGGACAGGGGATACACTGACCGTCCTTCCCGTAAGTTCCAGCAGCACAACCTGTCCAATCATAGAAAATAATTAATATATCTTATTTCAAAGGAAAGATCTTATGGTAGTCATTCTTTTTAATTGATTATGATTACCAATACCTTAGAACGGGAATGTCTGTAAAATAGAGTGTTCACAATTTCAACACCTCTAATTTTGCTATACATTGTCAAATACATCTCACCTAGCTCAAGGATCATGAAGCAGCTTCAGACTAGATAGCCAGCTGGAGTTTTGTTGCACAATATTTCGTAATTTTTCGCATAATATATAGAACTATATATACATCGTATTTACAATTTTAAAGAATTCATTTTTATATTCATTTGTCAAATATAACAGAATTAAGACATCATTGATCGCGAAAAAAAATTCTTAATTTTTTTTGTTTGTTTTTTGTTTAATGATTTCTTACAATTCAGAGGTACGGGGACTTTGTCATTATGTGTTTGTGAAGTTATGAAAAACGGAAGTTCCTTTAGAGGAGGTTGTTATCTTTCTTTTATTAAAAGACAACATACTGAAAATGTGTTTTTAAAATTTTAAACATAGGAATTTTTGAATCTCATAGTTATTTCTGTATGAATTCTTAGTATCTATAATTCTCGAATAAATGTACTCAGTAAAAAATTCGTTTCTTACTTAAATTGTACATTTTAGTATAATTCATCACATCATAAATTTTGAGCAAAAAGGCTATTGTAGTATTTTTATTTATCAAAGTCCGAAAAATGACTGTTTCCTATGAAATCCTATAGTACATGTAGTATATCCTACTTCTCAAACTCCGTCACCATAAGCGGAAAACATGCCAGGCTACTCTCTGAATTATTTTTTTATTTGATAAAGTCTAGTTTGCTACACTTAGTAATGAACTTAAACATTGTTTCTAATGCAATTTTTAAAAATGCAGTTATTGGGCTTATGAAAAACCACTGTAGATAGAACGTCCATCACATTTGTGCACAATACGTCCAACGAACCCTAACTCCGTCACCAGGACCCTCTACAATATGTCAACGTATTAAAAAGTAATTTGTTTCCAGTTAAGTTTTTTGTCCCCTTTTCTTAAACTTATAAACATAAAAAAGTTTTAAATATATAAAATAGTATTTTGAAAATTTCATCCTAGGAAAAGTATCAACAACAGAAAAAATAACATTGATATAACGTTTGTTTTGTTTTGTTTTGTTTTTTTACATGTAATAACGTCACTCTAATATCATCTCCAACGTGTAGTGCATTAGGGCAAATTGAGACGAAAAATAAAATATTTTTAGATGTATTCAATATGGCATGTCAAATTAATCCTTTGGCAAAGACCTGCATAAATACGGCTGACATATAAAATGAGCAAATTGACGCACATGTCGGTATCGATGGAATAGCGCACAAATGAAAAAGTGCTTACTGATTTCACATAAAATATGATAGATGAATAGACTACGTTTAATTTTTTTTATTTTTGATGAATTCTTGAACTTGACTGTTATTTTCGAGGCATTTGGTTGTAGATTTTCAGCATGCAAAAAATGATGTTACAATCGCATTCATGTTCAAACAGCGCGGAGTTTCCCGAGAGTGACGGAGTTAGGGGGTTTGGTGATATATAGATGTTCCCTAAAAATTAATTAGACAGTAGATTTCGCAAGTGTGTTGTCGCCCTGTTGGCGCAGTGGTTAGAGCGTCTGCACTAGAGTCGCGAAGTAAGGAGTTGATCCTTACGTCGCGGGTTCGAATCCCACTGTGGGACGTGGAGACCGGTCCTTCGGATGAGACCGTATAAACCGAGGTCCCGTGTCGCAGTAGGTGCTGGTACGAAAAAGATCCCTCACTGCTCAATGGCCGTAAGTGCCGAGTATAGGACAAAATTTGCAGCTCTCCACCGGCATGTGGTGGCGTCTCCATACGAGTAAAACATTCTCGAGAGGGACGTTAAACAACAATCAATCAATCAATCGCAAGTGTGTTATGGCTAGGTATTGGCGTTTCTATGCAAATGAGTAATTAAAAACTCATAGAGGTATATCTATCATACAGAGAAAGTTGCGCTAATTTTATGATACATACTTATAATTACGTCATGTTATATCCAGTACACATTATGACGTCATTGCTCTTTTCGACTTCGAGTAATAAAGAAAATCAAAAAAACAGCTTCGGCGCAAGGGTATCTTCTTTTTAAGTTTAGATAAAAAATTAATAATGGTTAGAAGAATGTTCTATAGATTAATAAAATTGCTGTATAAATGCTATACACTTTCCCCTTTGATAAGAATTTAATAAAACTTACACTGGACTTTGCATTTTTTCCTGTTTCAACTCAAAACCTTAGAAATATACAATAGAACTATCAATATTTGTGCAGCAACATCCTCAATACTTAGAGAGTTCTTTTTCTAATCATATTTTGTTTCTGTAAAATTAAATAGGGTATGTCCTTGCATCGAAGCTATTTTGTTGATATTCTTTATAACCTTGTGTAGTAATGAACAAATGACGTCATAATGTGATGCCATAAAGTCATTAATGTGTACTGGCTTTTACTTGTCATGGGCTACCGTGTATTATTATAGAATATATTTTAACTTTCTCTAATAGTTATAAGCTTTATGAATTTTATATTGTTCATTCGCATAGAAACACGTATACCTAGCCCTAACTCACTTACGTTTTCTGAAATTTGGATTTTCACTAAGTTTAATGTAGGTTTACACTTGTACAGAATTAAAAGGTTTTTTTATTATACGAGGGCCACTAAAAATTAAGCGGACTAGTTTCACAGAAAATATATTTGACGACATAATCAAGCAAAAAAGTCACAAATAATATAAAAGAATCTTTACATATATGGTCACCAGAATTTCAAAATATTGTAAATGGTATCAATTTCGGGTGATTTAACAAGACAAGACATGTCAACGTCACGGGCATTGTGATTTACGAAAAAAAAAAAAACGAAAGAAAAATTCCAGTCTTCTCTCTCAAGTCAGAATTGAAATATTGTCTTAAAGATTTACTGCAAAATACACGTAGAATTTGAAAGTTATTTACAGTTATTGTTGTTTTTTTTTTTAATTTTGAAGTGTCCGTTCAAGTGTCAATATAATAAAGATTAATTCTATGAATGAATGAAATATAAGACTATTTCATCGACCGGGTCATCAATTTACAATTCTTTTCACCTAAAGTTACTTTGATTAAGAAAAAAAACTTCATTTCTATGGAAGCTTTCCAAGCAAAAAGAAAAAGAAAAGAATCTCAATTCATGAATTCATCTGGTTTTTAGTCTAAAAGCTTTAAAAATAATAAATGAAAAAAGATTGATGATATTTTTTACTTTTGTGAATTGAAAAAGAAAATCGAAGTAATCATAAGTATATGTACACATTTGTTATCAATGTGTAACAAACGTATTATTTGATAGTGCATTATTATTGTATCCTTTTATAATTCATAATTAATAAATAGTGTTTGTAACTATATAGCTCTTCTTTAATATAAAATAACCAACTAAAAAATAAGATGCCATATTATGACAGATATGATGTATAATGATGTAAAAAAAAATTTTCTTCTTCATTGTGCTTTAATGATCATGCTATTGACTTGGTTCACAAAACATTGTCCTGATATTTGAAAACGTCCTCATTAAATTCTATTATTCTGAGGAAAATAAATGAGAAAGTAACGATAGAAATACAATCAAATAATAATTAGCTTAATTTATTTTCCATTTCATGCATCTAACATGTACTCTAATCATTCTACTGCATGTATGATTAATTTTGTGATTTTGTGATAGTCAAATTATGCAGTTTATTTCAACATGTATCAAATTATTTGATAAAATATAGATAAGTTAATGAAAAGAGTTGATAATGTTTTGATTTACCGACTGAAAGGCATGCATTACTGTCGTGTGTATGTACACATTTGTAGAAAGACGGGCATCGTGAATCTCTGCAGTGTTCCAAGATTTCCTGTGAAAAAACACAATATTATTTTAAGATATTCTTGGACTTTTTAAAAGAAGATATTAATTAATATTCAAATCGTAGCAATATGGATTATGTAGCACATACAATGCAGCCCTGCATATGTGGTTTTTCTGATGTCATAATATATGTTTAATATTGAGCAGATAAACGAATACTTAGATTTAATTGTTTTACACACTGATTATTTTACTATTTGTATGCTCCAGAAAAGGAAAGTTTACTACTGACATGGGATGTATATGTCAGTCAACAAACGCTCAGAAAAAGTTTAATATAACCTACCCTATTTTACTAAAACGTATCATTGTTTACTATAATTGATATTCAATTATTCACACATTTTTCTTTAATGGCAATACTTTAAGATATACCCTTTCTGAGATTTAGAACAATACTATCTTCCATATTCTTCATCAAAAATTAAGAATAGTTTTAAAAGAAATAGAAAAAATACAGTTGACAAATGGAATGAATAAACATACGAATTCAAAATTAAAAAAAAAAACAACTGTTTTTTTAATCTTCCATGAAAAGAACTGTTTTTCTGATAAAATAAACCTGAAATGATTTATAGATTTAAAAAATTGATCTACTAAGACACACTATTAAACTATGCAATAATATTTGTAAACTAAGGTATACTTAACCAAACGATATTTTACTTTGGTATTGTTGAGAACCATTGTACCGAAACAAGTATTTTATTCCTTTATATTTCACAAACATAACAAACTGTATTAAAATAATTTAAAGTTTATAAAGCTGTTCTCATGCAAAACTGGAATCCTTCTTATGTTTATTCAACAGATATTAATTCTTCAACTCCCAAGCTTTTAATGAAATAAGCGGAAGATAAATCCAAAAGTCTGTGTATCTCATATTAGTGCTTAAGTTAACAGTGATTAATTAATTCATTTACACATCTGAGTTTGAAAATTAGATAATGAATAATAAATTTTAAAAAAAAAAGTCACCTCAGCGGTACTATTCGCAACATTAGAAAAGAAGAAGTCGGGATTCTTTTTTCCGTCCATAATGATATCAGACGATTTGTCATTTATTTCACATAAAAACTGTTGTGTATTATAGTTGATAGACTGGCAGTGCTTGCGCAGGAGACATTCCTTTATACAGGCATGCACACCGATATTTGGTATTTCCTCAGCAGTAAAACCATCTAAACGGTAGCCAAGAATGAGATGCTCTGTACAGCAATGAACTGCCGATTTTGCGACCCAAAAGAGGAAGAGGGTAATAGTTACAGACATTCTTCCGTTCCTAATGTGTTTGCCGCACTGACTTTCGAACATTTATATACCCAAGAAATTTCCCCCACAACTTTAATCTGATGGTCAATATTTTCATGCACTTCAAATTGAATAGAGTATATTTTGTTTTTAAAATTCATTTTATTGATGCTAAAGGGACTTAGGGTTTATGATTTACATTATGATGTAATTGGAAAGTGGTATTGATTCAAGGCTATTTGTGCAAGTTCTTCTATCTTAAGGCATAATATGTCACAAAGTGTCGATTAAAATGAAAATCTTGGTTTTCAAAATTCAGTAACCTGAATATCATATCAAATTGCAATGACACTATATGTCATCATTCATTGATCAGTACATGAAAAAACGTCTAAAAACCTTGTTATATATGGAGTGCTTATCAAATATTCAAGAATAGAAAAAAATAGTGAAATTTTATTAAAAACAATCACACGTTCTTTAACTGAATTTGCTTATAAATTACAAGAAATTGCTCAGAAAGCACCAGAAAACCAAGAACATTGTATATCTTAAAAATTTTGGATCTTCTGAGTAGATGCAAGATTACAGATAAAAATTTGTATAAAGCACTAATAATTTTTGTTGTCATACATTTCCTTGGAGAGGGTATCACAGTACATAGTGCTCTTGGGATTTGTCAAATAAAGTTTGTATAGTTTTTAAATTCAGTAGAGACATAAATAGGACTGTTACAAAGTCTTCCAACCTGTCTTTGTCCTTTTAAGTTCATCTTATGCCGTAAAGTAAAACGAACTAAGCGAGGTGTTAAGTCAAAGTAATGTTTAAAATGATTTAAGATTCCATTTAAAAAATCATCAATAAAAAATCAATTGATTTCCTTTAAATATAAATTAAAGTCCTTATCTTACAACTACTAGTATAGCTTTAAATAAATTTGTGAAGTAGATCAAAGGATAAGGATGTAAAATTTGAAGATTACGAACAATGATCATTCTCATAAATTCAATGAAGAGAAGGAATCATACACAAGACAAATTCACAGACTCCTAAAAACATCAGAGGTGGGATCAGGTGACTAGGAGGAACAAACATCCCCTGTTGATTTGTGACACACACCGTGAAGATGTCAATAAAGAAACAGAAAATAATTGTTGTCGGAAAATATCTATAGTCTTTGTGCTCAGATTCTTGTTTTGCTCTCTTTCTCTTGTATGGATGCGGGGGAGCTCTGTCGAACCAATATTAGGTACAGTTATTCTCCTCTTAATCACCGACAATATCGTCGTCTTTTCCTTCTAACATTTTCAGCTGCACTACAAAGCACTTTTGTACTACTTTTTATTTTACTAAGTAGTGCCCATAACCTATAAGATATAAGTATCTCAATTATGAGCTAATTGAGCTAATGCACTTGTGCATTAGTGAGAGTGTTATTACGATCAATGTTCAGTATCCTTATAGCAAAATGGTTTCGAACCAATAGTCAATATGCTTTTTAAAATACCTTAAAATCAAGTGCCTTCATTGAGATCACTAATAGTACTTTCAATAGACTTTAACCTTAAATTACTTAAGATTAATAATATTTGAGTGTTTCTAGTGAAAGCGTGTCCATTGATTATCATACTTTTTTTTTTCTCTGTATTGAGTTAACATTAAAGTATTATTAAGAAAGGTAAGATGAATTATGGAGATAACAAACATTATTCAGGCTCCAAAGTGCATTCAAACAATAAAAATCAGGAGCAGAGCAAACACGGACATCAGAGGTGGGATCAAGTGCCATGGAGGAATGAGCATCCCCTGCCGACCGGTCACACTCGCCGTGTGCTCCTTGTCATGATCGGGAAATAACGGAAAGATCCGTCGACTATTCAGTGTGTAAATAATGGCCTTACAATAAGTATAAAAAAACCCAGTCAGCATTTGACTTAAAGATCGATTGTATACGATGGCAAGGTCATTGTATCGACCATAGAACTTGCAAAATGATTACTTTAAACGAGACAGTTGATATTCTTGTTTCATTTATTTGTTTGTCAATAGCTTGCCTTGTTTTAGAAATTGTTTGTGCGTAGAGCATGCTTTTGCGTATCGAATCAACTGAGAGACATAAACCCATATACAGGTGATGAAGGTATATTGCTACTTAAGTAAGGGAAGTCGACGGTTATCACATTTATCATAAAGCTTTACTGCTAGGTTACCATTACTGTCTTTTTCTAGTAATGTGTCAGACTCTTTGGCATCTTTTGTTTTAAGTTCACTGGGATATATCGAGTCGACATATGAATGGAAATAACTATTGTTAATTGATAATACGTTGTCGATAGATCTAAATGTCGAGTTGAAAGTCACAGAAAGTGTTTTGTTCTTCTCATGTATAAGATTTGGAATCAGTTCTGCTTGAGATGCTTGAGTTTCTGATTGACAAAATCTATGTGGTTTTTGGAGACCAGGTCTTCCAACAATCTATTGGAATTCCATGGGTACCAATTGCGGCCCGTTATTAGCAGACTTTTTTGTATTCATATGAAGTAGAATTTGTCCAAAATCTTATACGTGAAAAGAAGAAAACACTTGCTGTGGCCTTCAACTCGACATTTAGATATATCGACGACGTATTGTCAATTAACAATGGTTATTTCCATTCTTATGTCGATACGATATATCTCGGTGAGCTTGAGATAAAAGATACTACAGAGTCTGACACATCTGTTTCATATTTGGATATTTTACTTGAAAAATGGTAATCTAACAACCAAGTTTTATGATAAACGTGATGACTTTTACTTTTCAATAGTCAACTTCCCTTACTTATGCAGCAATATACCTTCATCACCTGCATACGGGGTTTATATCTCTCAGTTGATTCGATACGCAAGAGCATGCTCTACGTATGTACAATTTCTAAAACGAGGTAAATTATTGACAAACAAGTTGATGAAACATGAATATCAACAGTCTCGTTTAAAGTCATCATTTCGTAAGTTCTATGGTCGATACAATGACCTTGTCAGCAAATACAATTTATCATTGAGTCAAATGCTGACTGACGTTTTTCATACTAAATGTTAGGCCATTATTTACACACTGAATTGTCGACGGATTTTTCTGTTATTCCTGACCATGACAAGGAGCATACGGCGGGTGTGACCGGTCGGCAGGGGATGCTCACTCCTCCATGGCACCTGATCCCACCTCTGATGTTTTGGAGGTCCGTGTTTGCTCTGCACCTATTTTGTAATGTTTAATGGACTTTTGAGTTTGAATACTGTTCGTTATCTCCATATATTTCATTCTGCTTCATATAAATACAAAATAGGTCTGCTTATACCGGGGTGCAATTGGTACCCATGGGAATTCTGACAGATTTTTAGGGGACTTGGTCTCCGAAAACTACATAGATATTGTCAATCAAAAACTCAAGCATCTTCAGAGTACTTGTGTACAAACAATTTTTTTTTAAACAAAATAATGTTGCAAATGACCGATAACAAGGTAAGTACATTTACGAGTTTTTATTGAAAAAGCAGCTGTTAATGATGTCAAAAAGACTGTGCTTAAATTTATCGTTGGGAATGGTTATGGTCTACATTTTCCTGATATACAAGATATTTCTAAGTAGAGTTATGACTAAAAAAAGCTCTTTTGCATCCTAAAAAGCCTATTGATTTCGTTAAATAATAATTAAGAAGTCCTCAATGAAATACAACTTACAATTTCTTATCACATAGTTTTACACATTTTCTACACTATTTCATTCATCAATATCTAAAACAAACTCTCTCTTCTTTTTGAAATTAATCTATAACAAAACAGTCAATATGCAATTTTAAATAATCACATTTCCGCATTTTGTGATGTAAGACTAAATTTAAAAAATATATATAGTTCCGAAAAATAATTTGAGTCTTATACTTGGTTATGTGCACTATTATGAAAACGAAGTTAACATAAACGATAAGAAATATTTGGACATGCACGTATAGCATTTCTTTGACATCCGATTACTATATTGTTATTTTGTTTGTTGACATAAATATATGATTACCTGTAATGCTTTAAATAGCTATGTCACAGCAGTTTAAAAATAGAGATTTGAATCAGAAAAATTAAGATTACTTGTTTTTAAGTTTGTTAAGTGATTAAAAAAAGGTAATTTCAGCATATTGGTTTCGGTAAAATCACAAATTTATGACAGAAAACCAAAAAGTATGTCACCGATTACAAATTTTTCGCCTTTGTCAATATTACAATATTGGTTTGAACAATCACTGTTTACCTTCATCAACAAGCTTGAATTACTCAGTATTTCTTCATGCATTACAATTTTATTACCTAGTCACGTCCATTCACACTGTCTTTTGAATTCAGAATAAACAAATACTATTCCATCTCTGAAGGAGTAACACAGAAGTTTACAGACTTACAAGACATTAAAGTGCGTTGAGTGAGTTGTTAGATTTGATATTGATAGATTTTGAAGGTATATTAATTTTCAAAAAATTTCAGAAAAGCAAAAAATTCTTACAGATCCATACGTTTGGTCGTTTTAAATGCATATCTAGTAAAATCTTCAATTTCTAGAAAATTCCACAAATAATCATTTGAAGAAATATGAAGGTAACGAATAGTAATCAAGCTTAGAAGAGCAAAGCATACATGAACCTCTAGAAACATCAGAGGTGGGATCAGGTGCCATGGAGGAGTATGCATCTCTCGACCGGTCACATCTGCTATGTGCTCCTTGTCATGATCGGGCAAGCTGAAAAATCCGATGAAAATTCAGTTTGAAAATAATGAACTAATAATTTGCATTAAACATGTCAGTCTACATTCGACAAAATTGCTAATAAGATTGTTGTATCGACAACAGAATTTGCGAAACGTTGACTTTGAACAAGACTGTTAATATTTTTGATTCATCAACTAATTTCTCAATAGTTTTCCTCGTTTTAGAAATTATTCGACCGAAAAGTCATGACGTTTATCAAAATGCTTGTTTTAGGTTATTA